GCCGCTTCCCGCGCTCCCCCTCAGCCCCTCAGGATTCTCCCCCCGAGGGCCCGGCGCCCGCGGCCCCTTCCCGCGCTCCCTCAGGGGAGGTGACCCCGCTCGCCCAGGGCTGAGGCCTCAGAGAAGGGCAGAGAACAGCCACAGCTCCCCCCAGACCCCGCTCAGGTGTCGCTGGAAACACCTTACAAAAAAAAACCCCACAAAAGCATTTTGCATCGGTCCTGCTGAGGAAGAAAATTTACCTCAAACTCAGCTTCTCAGAGACAAGAGGTGTCCAGGGGACAAGAGGGGTGCAGAGAATCTCGGCTCACTGTCACCGAGGTCCTTAACCTCGCTCCTGGACACCCACAGCTCCAGTGATCTCCATGGAGCTGGGGGGACAAACCCCCAAAGGTCAGGGACACGGCCCAGCAAAGTGTTTGCTGAAGCGCTCGCACCCCGGACACCAACAATTAAAAGTAACTAGAGGAAATAAGAGCCAGTTCAACACCCCAACAGCAACACGGGACAGGCAGAGCTTGGGGGTTTGGTTTGGGGTGTTTTTGTTGGTTTTTTTTCTTTTTTTTTTTTCTTTTAAATCAGCTTTATTTTTCTAACTGTTATTTCAATTTCCCATAGCACCTTGGCAATGTCAAAAAACAAATACAAATACATGTATTATCATTTTAACATTTAAAGCATGAACCTACTTTACACAAATTTTCTTTTTGGACAGTTTTGACGACAGGAATATATCAGAACAGACAAAGAATAGAAGCCAGATAAGTTGCTTTTTTACTCCTTTCTCTGAAGCCCTACCACTTTGAAGAGAGATCATAAATGCCAAGGGGAAGCTGGATTCATCCGGGAGGAACAAGATGCCTGGAGTTAACTTGAGCTCAATATATTATCTGAATATTTTGTATTCTATAAAAATTAGAACAAAAACCATTTATGCACAGTCTGTTTACATTTGAAGTTGCATTTTTGGAAACTGTATCCATAACTGAAGCTCCATAAAAATAAACCTCTGGTTCTTAAATATAAAATTTTAAAGTTGTTACAGGTTAGTTTGCAGATGGATTTTTTTTTTTGGTTTTTTTTTTTTCAGAAATAAGTTGCTTTAACACCATTTCAAGTCCTCCCAACTGTACATTAAAAACAGACTCAATTAACCTCTTGAAGTGCCTACGCTAAAGGCACCGAAGAGAAGAGCCAACTAAAATACTACAACAAACCAAAATTAGGTACCATCCTAAAGGAAGCTCAGACTATATATGTAATATATACACACAAAGAAGAGCATGATAAATCATTCAGATTAATGGCAACAATCTTATGTTTCAGAAGGAAATATCAAAATTAGAAACAAACAAACAAAAAAATCTATTGCATATCTGGATAATCAAGGATTTACAAAAAAAAAAACAACTTAGAAGCAATTTCCCCCCGAAGTGCATTTCTGTTGCATCGTCTGTAATACAATGGCGCATTTTACAAATTTAAAATATCATCTGTACATACCAGATATTTTACCCCAGGTGAACATTCACTTGGGTAACAGTAAAAATAGCAGACATTTCCAAGACAATTAAGCTGATATTGACAAAGTAGTAAGGCCATAGCTATATTTAACTACAGTAAAGCATTGATTAAGTCACTTATTTGCTACTGATCTGCCACAGTATCATCTTTCTCTTCTGGTTAATAGAGTGGGTTACTTTTTTCTTTTTTTAATTATTATTTTATTTTTTTAAACCTACTGCTAAAACTGCACCATCATACTGTGCCAGGCTAACTT